GAAATAATGCGGCTCGGAGACGTCCGACTTCCGCCATAAATTAAAGGCCTTCAAACACTTTGAGAAAACCGGTTAAATCAGGCTACCCTCGGCGAAAGGAATTTATAAAGGGCTTTGATAATTTCATCCCTCGAATAATTTAAAGGCTTCGATAACATCAGCCTTCGAAAAAAAATACCTCAAGAGGTATTCGACCATCATTACATAAACAAGTTATAAATAAGGTTCCCATTCGTCAAACCTTCGAAAAACCCAATGGGTACGAAAAACACATGCTAAGGCATAATTAAATTTTCACTAAGTCTTTTAGTCGAAAAGAGGGAAAAATTATATAGCCACTCTAGAGGCCGAATCGGCACAACTTAAAGAGCCTAAGGGCAGATATATAAGAGCCTAAGGGCCAACTTAAAAGAGCTTAAGGGCCAAAACATGTAGAGTTTGAGACCTCGTTCTCACTCAACTCGGACTCAAGAGTCCCTTTGTTCCGAGCTCGCATCAAATTGATTTGGGCTTAGCTCGAGGACTACCTAAGACCTTAAGAGGCATTATGTTGATCAATTAAAAACCTAAGGGTTTATTATGTTCTAGATCCAAACCAGTATTCGAACTAATCATTTGAGTTGTGCAATCGAATTTTCCACAAATAAGGACAAAATGAAATCCAACACAAGTCAAAATCGAAACAAAGAGGTCCCTTTTGTATTTCCGAAAGATGATTACAAAAGATATTTACACAAGGAGTACTTGCACAAAAACACAAAATAAAGAAACTTAAATCTACTCCGGGGCCACAGATTCGGCAGCTACATCTTGGGCAGCTGCACCTTCGAGAGCTTCGTCCTCGGGAACCTCCCCCTCGGGGACTTTGTCTTCGTCTCCTCCGCTCTCGGAGCCACTGGATGAATCATCCTCATCGAAAAGCAAAGCGGCAGCCTCTTCTTCCAAAGTCTTTGCCCTTTCAATATCGGCTGAGAGATCGAAGCCGCGAACATGCACCTCCTCGAGGGTTTCCCTCCGGGACTGTCGCCTGGCGTGGTCAAGTGCACATGATAAATTAACTTCGGCCGTAGCAGAGATCTCCTTTTCTCGGGCGTTAGCTGCTTCAGCGTCAGCTCGGTACGAAGTTATAAATGCCTCAACGTCAGATTTGGACTTGGCAAGATCATCAGCGGATTTAGCTTTAAGCTCCTTGATTTTGCGGCCTCGAGCCAGGCTCTCCTCCTTCACATTTTGAAACTGGCGTTCGAGTGAAGCCAGCTGCTCCCGAAGAGTATCTCTCTCGGAGGCAAGACTGTCCATGCCTTGCCTTCACCCCTAGGTCTCGGCCTCCTTCATCTTGAGCTCCTCTCGAAGCTGCTCCGCCAGCTCGCCCTTTTGTTAAAACTGCAAAGGAAAAGTGTTTAGGCTGACCGGGCAAATCTATAACAAAACTTCAGAGGATATATTACCTTTTCGGTTAGCTCGGTTTGTTCTTGACGAGCCTTTTCCAGTTCGGCTCGAAGACCGCTGATCTCCTCCTCTTTCTTGACATAGGGGGTTTTAAGACCGTCCCTCTCTTCCGAGATTTCCTAAGCTCGGCCTCACATCGAGCAAGCTCAGCTCGAGACTTGGAGAACGCTTCTTTATGGAGCACAATGGCCTTCACAAAAAGGGATAGGTCAAAACGACAAGGATAAAGCACAAGCGTAATTTTAGAGGACAGAAACTTACTTGTTTGAAGAGCCGACGGGCCTCACGAAAATAAAAGAAGCATCTGGGTCGGGGCCATCTTTGATCCCTGCAAGGCATTCTCGAAAGATATCATGCCCTTCGTGGCTCGTCCCCACATCAGGAGTTTTCATGTTTCGAGCATCTCGGATTTGCCCCTCGGAGAACTCAGGACCAAGCGGCGACTCATCCACGTTGATTACCCCTAGCGACCTACTCAGGGCGTTCTCTTCTATTTGAAGGGCCTCGGGACCGGGTCCCTCGGCCTCACCCTCCAAATAACCTCCTAGACAAGGTGCCTTTTTGCTTCCCGATGGCTCGGAGACTTTACTCGAACTCCCCTCAGAGATTTCTTCGGTTCTAGGATGCACCGCATCTGCCACCACCGGCTCGGAAAACTTCGAAGCACCGGTGCTTCCTCTTTTACGAACTACCAACAGGCAGTCGTCATCTTCTTCTTCTTCCTGGTCCCGAAGGCGTTGGGCCGTTTCTGGAGATAGGGCCACAGTATCGGCCTTAGGCTTTCGAGCAGCGCTTTTCTTAGGCTTTGGGAGATTTGCAAGTGACCCCCTCTTTCTTTTCTTTTCTTTGGAAGGCTTTGGGATCTCTTATTCACCAGGCGGGGGTGGCCGCATGGCAACGACGTCTTCGAGGCCTGCATAAAGACAAAGGTAAGTATTTCATTGAGAAACACAAGTAAACAAACAAAAGAACTCACCATGGTTTTTTGCCTCCCATCGGCCCTTGGCTAAATCGCGCCAGCAGCGCTCCACGTAGGAGGAGGTAGATGCCAGTTTTAGACCCAATCTTCAAAGTCCGGGACAACACCGGGAAACCAAGCAACAACTGCACCATCGGAAAGGGGTTAGATCGAGAAAAAGATGAAGTCGAGAGGAAGAAGGGTATAAAGGTACTATGTACTTATGTTTCATGTTCCACTCCTCGGGGAATGGCATCCTCTCAGCAGGAATAAGGTTAGAGGTCCTGACTCGGACAAACTGGCTTATCCATCCTCGGTCTTTGTCCTCATAGATGCCGAAAAAGAGAGATTTTGAGGATCGACGTTGCAGTTTTATCAAGGCACCTCGATAAAGGCGAGGGCTGTACAGCCTGATCAGATGGTCGAGGGTGAAAGGCATTCCTTCGACCTGGCTCGAGAAGAACCTGATCAAATGAACGATTCGCCAGAATGAGGGGTAAATTTGGCCAAGCGTCACTTGGTATTGTTGGCAAAAATCAAGGATAACTGGGTCTATGGGACCCAGGGATGGATTTGCGGGCCCCAGCATGAATGGGTAGGTATACACGCTTAAGTACCCCGCTTTATGGGTAGTGATGTCCTCCTCTGGGGAAGGAATCACCACATCTTTGTTATCCCAATTGCAGTTCTTCTTTACCTGCTCAAGCTCATCTTTGGTTATCAAACAGACGTATCGAGACATGGGCTCGCATCGGCCTGGTGTCGATACGGGTTTTTCAACTTTGAAATCGGATGTTATTTCACACGGCAGGGGAATGCATTCATCGATACGGGCTGGCACCACCATTTTACTTCTGATCGGCCGCGATGATGAAGAGGCTTTTTCTTTTTGGGGAACGGATTTAGATGTTTTAGCCACTATGGTGTAAAAGTTCAAGAAAAGAGAAGAGGTTGATGGTGAAGTAAGGGCAAATTAAAAAGAAGGGAGAACTCAGAGAAGCTGAAGAAGCTAATGAGATTTTGGAAACAATCTGAGAAGTAAAGTTTGTAAAATTAAGAAGTTGGCCTACTTATAGAAGTCACTCAAGCGTATTGGGGAAGTCGAGTAGCCGACTAGTACTGGCATGCATTTAATATTTTGGGGAAGAGAACTGACGGGACGTTTCGATCATTTCGAATGCTCACATCACGGGTATGACATCATCATTAAAGACTCCGGAGAATCGTGGTTCAAATCATTTCTTGTCGCCTTGCTCTAAGAAACGCGGGGACTATCTGTATACGGCCGAAATCGGATGCCTCCGATCTATAGGCTCGAGGGGTCGTCTTGGGCCCGAGTTCGAGCAAGGTCGAGTTCGAGTTCAAGGGACCAGATCCAGATCCAAGCCCGAGGACGGAATGAAATGCCTGATGATAGGAATGCAGGGAATACCGAAGTCAAGTATGCTCGATCCCGAAATTGTACCGTTATGGATTTATAACAGAATGACCTAGATTCCTGCCACCTCCCCAAGATCATGGCGCAAATTTCGGAATAGGATTGTACGATTTCGTACTAGGCGGTTAGACAGTTGTATTAAGAATATTCCTTATTATAAATAGAAATATACCTTATTTAGGGTTCCCCTATTATATAAAGGGGACCCCAATCATTTGTAACATCATCTCATCATTGGCAAGAATATACTATCCTACTTTTCTCTCTTACTGTTCATCAGAATTGTTCTTTATTGTCCTTTACATTTATTGTTCTTACTTTATTGCTCTTAGTCCATCTCGAGGTCACTAAGCTCGACGTCACCACTGCTGAGTAACATTGGTTTGATTCACTTATTTCTTTCATTTCTACTTCATATTTCTTGATTATTAATTGGTATTGAAGTTAATCACATATCTTTAAAACCACAAAATCAAATTTAATTGTTACTCGATACTTTCGAGGTAAACAGTTTGAAAAGTAACTAGTAATAGATTTATTAGTGTGTCAAAACTCCAGTTTCTACTCATCATAGTTTGATATTTAGCTTCTAGGCTGTCGATATTAGCATACACTATACTGTACCAAATCAAATGCCATAATCTAATAAGACCTTTGTTTTAAAATATACACTAATTTTACAAAATATTTTATTAGATATTACTTAATATATTAATAAAACCTGAAAGATCTAAGAGAAAGGAATTTATCATCCTTGGTTCTATTGTTCCAAAAATATATATCAATTACTTTTCGAAAGCCAACAAAGGGATTATATGAAGGTTTTAAACACACTTTCTCAATTTAAAAGGAGTAAATTTTAGTATAGATTATTTATTTTAAATTTTTAGTGCCATATAGGCAAATACCATGTCTAATATAGTTTTGAAAACTACTCTAATTCGATCAATTGAGTATCAATAAGTGAAATAAATAAATAAATAGTGGAGCGAACTAACTTTAGATAGATGTGTAATTATTATTGTTATGATTGTTAAATAAAAAAAAAAATAGCTTTGGTGAATATTGACCTTAAATACATATTCATCAGCTGGTCCAAAAATGTTTATACTTTATCCCTTTTAATTGGTGAAGTGTCAAAAAGTAGGCAAAACTATAAGATTCAAAGTCATATGGTCCTGCCATTGACAAATCACTAGCCATACTAAATCTAACGAGTGATGACCAAGCATATGAAAAGGTTCATTATTAAAGTATTATTGAACAAGTAAATCAAAATCCCATTTTGGCTGTTGTCTGATTCCTTTCCTTCAAATCTATGACCATGACTAATCATATCGATCAAAAATTACACAACAGACACTAGTAAATGACCAATACAAAGACCCAATAATCCCTGTGCCTATTTAGCGAAGCAGAGTTGTTGGGTTTTTGTGGACACTATCGAGATTCATCTCTATTTCAACGCTGGTATGTATTTTCTCTTTGTTTAGTGTTTCTTGTTATTTGAATATGAAAATCTTTTCTGGGTTTTTAATATTTTCCTTTTTTTTCCCAGGAAGAATTCGTGGTCATTGAATTTTGCATTTCTGTTTGTATTGATTTATCAAAGGTGGGATTTTTATCTATTCTTTGTCTTGATCTAAAGAGAATTGAGTAATTGATCCTTACTTTAAAGGAACTAGGTGGGAACAGTGAAGAAAAAATACATGTTCAGATCCCACTTCTGACAAAGTTAACTCTTTTGTTCATAAAAAAACAAGAGAGATAGGTATTGGATTGTTAGAGATTGGAGTTAAAATGACTAAAGCTGTAATTTTTCCGATTAAACTGTGTTATAGGACAGTTTGGAATCATCCATTCCTTGTGTGTATGCTGTGTTTCTTGGCATTTTTGTACACATCATTTCCTTTTGTATTTTCCCTATTGGTGACTGTATCTCCTGTTCTTGTTTGCACTGCTCTTCTGCTTGGAACTTTGCTAAGTTATGGTCACCCTAACATACCCCAATTTGAAATGGAAGAAGATACAGCTGATGGTATAGTGCCTCTGAAAACTGGGTTGTCACGAGATGTTAGTCGTGTTGAGAGTGATAATAGATATACTGATCAAGAGAGGGATAAAGTAGACCAGTCAACTGATAAATCTAGCTTGCTTAGTGAGGTTCATAGAGGTCAAAGATTTGGCGATCATTCTCCTCTAGTTGATGGAGTTTCTCGGGTGGCAAGGGAGTTTGATGAGCAGAAGAATGAAGATAAAATTGGTGATGAGGATCTTATGGAGAATCAGTACTCTCCCACCTCGAAGGCTGATGATGAGAGTGTTGAATTTGATAATGACAAATCAGTTGATTCCTTTGATTCTAGAAGGGTTAACCTTGATTCTCCTCCTGGTTCACCTTGGAAACATAGGGAGGAGGAATACAGCGAGGCCTTAGATTCAGGGTCTGATCGAGCAGAGAGCTCTTCTCCGGATGCTTCAATAGCTGATATTATGCCAATGCTTGATGAGTTGCATCCACTTTTAGATGAAGACAATCCTCAACCTGTCAATATTTCGCATGATGTTTCTCATGCTGCTTCAGAGAGTTCCAGCGAGTCCTCCGAGGGTGATAATGAATCTGATGATGGTTCTGAAGACCAGGAAGAACTAGAAGCTGCAGATGATGAGAACGAAGACGAAGAAGAAACACGAGACAAAGAAGATCCAAAGTCTGCTATTACTTGGACGGAGGAGGATGAGAAGAATCTAATGGACTTGGGAAGCTCTGAGCTAGAAAGGAATCAACGATTGGAGAGTCTTATTGCAAGGAGAAGATCAAGGAAGAACATGAGTTTGATAGATGAGAAGAATTTGATAGACTTGGTAAGTGCTGATTTTCCATTAAACATGCCTCCCATTTCAACAGCAAGACAGAAGCCTTTTGATCTTCCTAGTGATAACTATGACCTTGGACTGCCGCCTATCCCTGGCTCTGCTCCATCTATTTTATTACCAAGGCGGAACCCATTTGATCTTCCTTATGACCCAAGTGAAGAGAAGCCCGATCTTACAGGAGACAATTTCCAACAAGAGTTTATCACATCTCAACCAAAAGAGCCATTTTTTAGGAGGCATGAAAGTTTTAGTGTTGGACCCTCAATCTTTGGGCTGAACAAGCAAGACAAGAAAGATATACGCTTGAGACCTTATTTTGTTCCTGATGTCATGGCTTCTGAAGGAACAAGTTATTCTCCATTTCAAAGGCATCCTAGCGATCTCAGTGATTCTAAGGTAAGTTCTGTTCTTGAAACAGAGTCACAGGGTTCTATTGAAGATCTGGAAGACAAGAACCTCACTGAAGAAGATGTAGAAGACAAGAACCTGAATGAAGAACATATGTTCAAGGAGCCACAGCTGATATCTAAGATAGAGAATGCTGCTGATGATGTCGGACATGGAAGCCAATCCTCCGAAGAAGTAGAATGTCTGGTCCTAGGTGCAGCTGATAAGAGAGATATTGAACTCGATGACACTGATGTTAAATTGCAGAATGTGGAAATTCATCATAAAGTGGGACCAGTTGTGTTCCATGAAGAAGCAGCAGTCAGTTCCATGGAACTTGATCCGTCTAAAATTAGTTCAAAGTCAGAAACTTCTGAACAAAAATTTAGCAGTCAGTCAAGCTCCTCATCATCGTCAGAAGTAAGTGAAAGGACCTTTGCTGACAAAGAAGTAGCGAGATTAAGTTCCGAGGAAGCGACGAGTCATGTTGAAACCATCTCTAGGCAACATTCACCTAATGGGTCAGATCTGAACATCTCAAGCAGTTCAGTGGACGAGAGCTTACATTTGGAACCGATTTATGATGCCAGTCCTCCTTCCATCAAGAAAAACATTTCTTCATCCTCAATTGCTTCAGATCCGCTCCCAGAATCTGAAATGGAGCTTCCCCCTGAATTGGTTAAAAGGACTGTTTCTTTTATTGAGAGGGAACCTGTTGAAAATAATCGAGACATTGAGAAGTCCATTCCGACTAGTGAACGGATTATTTCATCAGTGGATTCCCAAGACTTGCGGCCGAGAGAGGAGGTAATGGACAGAGATGATCTTGATGTTGCAAAGTCGGAGATATCAAAACGTGATGAAGTCTTTGACAGTGCAGGTGCTCCTCCAGTGCATGTACGAGATAGTCCGGCATCTATTGACTTAAAATCATCCAAAAAAGTAAGTAGTATTATTCAGTATTCAGTACTATAAATTGGGTGATGTCAAGATCTTAGCTTTTATCATATTTTAATACACCTTTTTTTTTAACTTTTCTCTTAAACTTTTCTTTATTTGAAATAATTGATCTTAATTACTTAATGGATTTGAAGTGATGTAATATAGGCCAAAAGTATTGTTGGAAATACATCATTTTCCAATTTAAACAAACGTTAGATGATACACCATGGATTTTAATATATTGAACCAAACATCTGAATACAATTAACACGTACAAATTTAGTAAGTAATCTGGTAACTATGATACATTGTATTACAATCCACATATACTAATCCGTGTATAAACTTGTCCTTATGCAAATGTCCCCGTAGGTTATTATACATATTTTCCATCTTAGAAACATATGCACCCTTCAATGTCAAAGATATTTTCACGAATGTTATAACCTTGTATTAACAGTGTGAGATGCTTTTGTTAAACTGTCTGATTGTGATTCGTAAGGTCCACTGGTAACTCATAGTGATAGGACTGAAGATAACATCCCCTCCTCCAGCCTTTTATTTTGTCAATTATATCTATTAGTTGACAATACGAATGGAGTGGCAAATTCCATCTTTTTATTCATGGTATAGGATCTATCATCTCATCAAATGAGCCAGAATCATTAGAATTGTGCTAACAATACATGGTTTATTGGATTTCTCTGTGGTCTTTGAAAATTTTAGCCC